GTATTAGGTATTTTATAAGAAAATAATTAAAAGAGCCCTAGAAGAAAACCAAACCCATCCTGCCTATCTTTTTGCACTCAATTTTCTTCCTAATTCCAAACTAATTTTTAAAGAGAATCAATAACCTTAATTTTCATTTATTTCTTTTTTAACCAACATTAAAATTTGGCCTATTTATGGGGTACCATGTGATGAATCAATACATTGTATTTCAACATTTTTTAACTTTTACAAAAACTTTATTGAGAATTTCATATATGTATATAAGGTGTTTTGATCTAACCCATGCCCATTCCCTCCCCTCCAACATTCCCCCCTCTGAAAAGGTAACCCTAAAATCTTTTAAGGATTAGATACAAACTCCCCAATACTTTTGACATTTTTGGCCTTTGGAACAGAGTATGTTGCTAATAGGCCCAAGGACATTTTGACTTATAGCCAAGAAACTGGCTACATTTCTTTGGGGTCTTTTTACCCTAAGTGCCTAGCCAATTCCTATCTCCTATTCTTAATTGAATCTCTAGTCTCTTTCTCTCCCTCTCCCTCTCTCTCTCTCTCTCTCTCTCTCTCTCTCTCTCTCTCTCTCTTTCTCTCATCCTCAGATACCAGAAGAGAGGATCAGATCATCTAGAACTGGAGTGATAGACAGTTGTGAGCCTCCTGACCTTGGTGCTGGGAAACTAAACTCAGGCCATCTGGAAGAGCATCAAAAGTACTCTTAACAGCTGAGTTATCTCTCCAAGCTCCAATATTCTGATGGCTGCTTACCATTGTAGTCTAGTCCCCAAATACCAAAGTTAGAACAAGATGCTGCAGTGTGGCCTTAGACATTATCCTTCATCTTATCCTGTCTCCAAAATGATAAAATCATAAGATTTGGTCTTGACTGGGGGCCATATTAGTTTGGAAAATGGAATTGTTTAATAAAACTGAGTTATGTGGGGAGATTTTTCATGATAGATTACTAAAATATTAAGAAAAAATACTGGACGACATTATTAAGTTTATTTGACCTGTCTTATTTATAATGGAAAGCAATCAATGTATTGAAATTGATTATTTACAAATAAATAACAAGTTGTTAGTTGCTGAGCATGGTGGCACAAGACTTTAATCCTTCACTTGGGAGGCAGAGGCAGGTGGGTCTTTGTGAGTTCCAGGCCAGCTGGGGATGCAGAGAGACCTTGACCCAAAATGAACAAATGAAAAAATTAAAATAATAGCAAGTATTAGTTAACTCTTACTCCCTTGAAATTTTTCCCTACTGATGGTCTACATTTTATTTTGTAAGCTTCTACTTGTAACCATCAGATTTGTATACATGGGTTTTTTAATCATTTAAAACAAAAGGGGGACTGTAGAGATGGCTCAATAGTTAAGTGACTGGCTGCTCTTCTAGAGGACCTGGGTTTGGTTACCAACACCCACAGGGCAGATAACAACCACCCATAACTCCAGTTCCAAGGGATCTGATTCCATCTCCTGGCTTCCACAGGTATTGTACACAGGGGTGCACTTACATACATGCAGGCGAAACACACATAGTGTGAGCTTGCTGTCACATTCAAATATTACCATATAGTATCTTCACAGTGTGTACCTGTGCATGCGTGCATGCATGCATGCGTGTGTGTGTGTGATGTTTGTGTACAGATGAAAGAATTTACACAAGTTCACACCATGTGGAATAGAAATAGCATCTACAAAGGAAAAAATAACTGGAACTAATTAATTTGGAGGCAGGTACCATATTTCAACCTATCTGTACCCCTGTACCCATGATGCACTAGGTATACATTTTCACATTTGAATGTACTGTGGTGACAAATGAATAAAATGGCAATTAAAGCACAACCTTAAGCTAACACACTGAGAGATTTCCCTTAGACTCGAATAAGACCAATATTCTCAGGATACCAAGAATGGGAGCTAAAAGTAAAACAACATTTTCATCCAAGCCTTATTACACTCCTGGCTTGCAAACATCACTGGAGAATATTGATGTTGGGTTCCTTCTTTCTCATCACACAAAGGTATTAACAAACTCAGTAATTAACTGTATGCCACCCTTCCTTCAGTACAATGTAAAGTGGTAATTAGGAAACCTGTGAAGTCTAACAACTCTGCATAATTTGTAGAATTCTACAGGTTTAGACAGAATGTAAAAATCTTCCATAGACTGATGTCTGCCCCAGATCATCATGATCTTCAAAAAAAAATGAGTTTAATAAGAATTTGGGCATCCATAGAACATTCTTTCTCACCAAAATAAGTAAAATTGAGCAATTGCTTTTGTACCCCCTGCAGACTAAATTACAGCCCTAGTCAGGATATATATGGTTTTATATGACACTTAATGGCAGGGTAAATATTGTCAAAGTACTTAATTCCCATGGAATTATTTCCTCTCTGTTAAAATGTAGATAATGTAGCCCTTCCTGAGCTGGTGCAAAATCAATGGAGTGAGCTATATTAAAGAACTGGGTAAGGGTCTGACAAACGAGGACCTTTATTCATGTGACTTTCTTAAATTTCTCATTCTTAAGGGTGGGACCCACACTGCAAAGGACTGGCCATGTCCAACCCACTTCAACCAATCCCAAATAAAACCACAATTGCACATTGATGGCTTGATACTTGGAACCCAGCTGATCACCATCACTTATTCCCACCTCTGCCTTCACCCACAGCATGAGGCCACATACAAAGGATTAATTATTTTCTCCCTCCCCTTTATATTTTACCATCTTAGCCATAACTACCCAATCACCTTTCTCTGGACTCTAATAGGATAGGGAAGAGTAGGAAATAGCAGGGAATGGAAGGCAGAGGGAGAGAGCATCAGTAAATGAAGGAAACAACTCCTTGGTGACACATCACATGCTTAGCATACACTAGTAGCTCTAAGCCTAAGTAACATGCCACAGAAATTCTGAGCTGATGAAAGGCTAAAAATGTCAACTAAGGTATTATTTCTCACCTTCACCTAAGGCTCCATCTTAGGTGGGCCAGCTCACAGGACCCTGAGTTTTGCTACAGTGTAGTAATTTTGAATGATCAAAGACATTCAGATAGCAAGATCAAGGGATCAAGATCAGATTCAGTGATCTAACAAGGGAAAGAAAAATTTATGTAAAAAAGAGTATGTATCATCAGCAAGTCACCAACTTATTATTCTATATATAGCCTAACTATATCCTTTATTTTCTTATTTTAAATTCTATTAATCCATGTTTATCTCCAGATGAAATTTAAAAATTATTTAATGACCTTTCTTGAGTCACATTATTGTCTTAACTACCAACTCAATGCTCACAACCTTTAACTTGAATGTTCAGTACCTCCCATAATCAATACGCTTCAAAAGATATCATCTTCGGCTTGACATTGGTCTTTTATGCTCACTCACAATGTCCATATCATCCTCAACATCTTTTTAGCATATAGAAACTATTCAATAGTTTTTAGTTTTTTATCATAATCAAGGTGATATTGATGACAAAGAAGAACACTTGCAGCATATTACGAGGAATAGAAAAATGAACATTAGTAAAATATCTCCTGATGCTTGAGGGAATATCAGAGGAGAGAACTCTTCTTCAACAGAAAACTCACAGAGTAGCTTCCCTCAGTCTTTCAAGCTACACACTCATGATTATGTAAGGCAACTCTTTTATTTCCATTGGCTGGCAAACTTTCAGAACACCAAGATTTTATCTACATGCACCAGCCAAGCAGTCAGACCTTAAAAAGATACACACACCAGGACTCCAGTGAACGAATTTGCACCAAATGACATCTGGGTGCAAATGCTTGTTGAATAGGACTTAACATGTATAGCAGAATACATGAGGTTCAGTGGTGGTGGGGGGAGATGGATAGGGGAGAGTATCTAAATTTGATTGTGAACTGTGCAAAAACTCTATAAAAATTTTAAGAAATATTTCATAAAGCTAAAAATAATAAGAAATAAAAATTTTTAAAAAGATACCCACATGTATCTCTGCATAGAATTTGCAGTCTATAACTTCACTTTGGATAAATAACATTCTTTCAGAAAACTATTTTTCTTCAATGTTAGACATTTGTCGATGGGGGTATGCATGTGTGCGTATGGTGCACATGCCTGAGCTTGTGCGTATGATGCCAGAAGAATATACCAGGTGTCCTACTCTACAGCTTTCCACCTTATTCGTTGAGACAAAGGCCCTCAGTGAACCTAGAGATAGGCTGGTGGGCAGGAAGCCTCAACTTTACTAGTGTCTCTGCCCCCTACAGGCTGGGGTTACATGCATTCACGCAGTCATGTCCAGCTTTTTACGTGGGTGGTGGGACCTGAACTCAGGTCCTCATGTTTGCACAGCAAGCACCCTTACTCAACAAGCTATCTCTCCAGCCCTAAACATTTTCTTCTTGTGAGCTCCATAAAGTCAAGGACCATGTATGTTTCCTTCACTTGGTGAACCAGGTAACCAGACACAGCCCAGACTCTGGCATATAGTATCTGCCCTATACACACTTAAGGTATAAAATATTTGACTCCATTAATGAATATTCAGTTTGAGACTGCGTTATTGAATAATTTTAGTGTAAAGTCTATCAAAGAGCTAATGAATGAACTATCTTCAAGAACCTTGTTGTCTGAAGTCTTGTAATAAGCTTCTTTAGTTGTCCTCACGGCAACAAGCCTGCTGACAGCAGGCGGGTCTATTAGTTCTGTATTCTCACAGTTGAGTTGCGCAGAACTTTGGAGCTAATGGATGTCCTCAGCAAGGAATCAGGCTAATTTTAAGAGAGTGGGTGGGCTTCCATTGAGAGCTTTCACCAAATACATGCAATTTCTAGAGGTTGCCCAAGTGACTGGTGGGAGCTCTGCAAATACAGAATGCTTGAGGATGTAAGCTGAGTTTAATGCACAGTGCATGTGAAAATCAGAATGTATCTGCACAACAGAGAAAGGAATCTTTTAATATAAAAATAGGAATTAGGAGTGACTTTACCTGAACAGAAATCATCTGAGTATCGGTCATAAACAGCTCTGCAGTCTCTCTCATCACATTCACAGGTGTCCCCGTGAATGTCTCCCCAGTCCCCGGTTGGATCAACATCATGACAAGAACATTCACCACATACACAAGTCCCTAGGTGGGGAAAAAAGAATTTTATGTGGGTACAGATAAGAAAAAAATCATGAAAAAAGCATCTTTCATTTTTTTAAATAAAATAAGTCATTTTGTGTTCAGACAATATGCATATTCAGATACAACGCTCTAAAAAGGAAAAATATCATTTGAAGTTGGTGGCAGAGATTTCTTAATAAAGTTATCCACAATTATGTGAGATTATTGGCTATGCCATTAGCATTAGTGTTAATTTCACTCAAAGGTAATATTGAAACAATATATCATCTTTCTATATATTAACTATTTGACAAAATGATGAAAAAGATAACAAAAGAATGATCAAACTCTAAATATAAGATTACCAACATTTTATGAACTAAGGTGTAAATATCTTAAGAGTTTGGGTAATGTGGTGTGAAGTATTAGGAATAGGTGCTTGGATATACTGAAGAATGGAAATGTCCTAGTGGAGTTTGCATGTAAAACCTAAGGAAACTGAACATGGTGATAAGGATGGCAATGAGGGTGGGAGTCACAAGATGCCTGTGAGGGAAGACTAGTGTTCCTTAGGTCAGAGCCCAGCTTGTAGAAGGTGGTAGAGACAGACTTGAGAGGCATGACCTTGGTAAGTGGGAAATTTTTGTAGGGAAATACTTCATTTATACTACTCTGCATAGATTTATCAATAATCATATTTAATATATGTACCCAGCAAATTAGTTGAGCGATAAATCCCTTTCTTCTTTATATCAAAATAAGTAACAGTTGGACTAAAACTTTTGATGTACAAAATAAAGCTACAGAATATGAACAGAATTCATTTTTCTTCCAAACACTTGAAGCAGAAATACTAAAAGGGAGAAAAAGGCAATAGACTTAACTACATAAAAGTCTGAAATTTGAATTGGGATCCAAACACCTTAAAAATAGCCGAAAGACTAAAAGAACTGAAAGAAGTTCTGCATATGTTTGTAAAAGACAATGCGTATACTCACAAGCGTACAACCAGTTCTTAGTCATCAAAATATAAAATTTAAGTATACCTAGTATAATCCAGGCAAAGGCAGAGAACAACAGGAATTTTCATGGTGAAGTAACAATAAACATTTCAAGGGTTGATCCTGCAGCCAAATGTTACTACTAAGAACTGCAGGTGAGAGATCACAACAGTTAGGTAGAAATCTTTTGGATGTTAGATTGTCGCTGTTGGCAAAGCCTGCTTACAGCCACAGCAGACAAGTAGCTGGGGCCATAGGAAATCTCCTCTTCTGAATTATGAAATGTCTCATGGAAAATTCACTCAATGTGCTCTTTAGGAATTCATCACTATTCAGTATGGTTGTTCACCTAACTATATGTCTAAGGATGTGTTAAAAAGGAAAATGAGGTAGGTGTGCACAGAGACTCAAGTCTGTCTTCTGTCTAGAGACTTGGTATAAGGATATGGTGCCAGAGTGGACATGAGTGGTACCTTATGAGGAAAAAGATTCATCTCATTGGCCACTCCTACCCTGATCTCCTGGATCTCTGGAGGTCAAGAGTTGCCTTACTTAAGGCAAGCTGCTTTCCACTATGGCTTTGCCAGACCTACCATTTAGAATGCTGCAAGCTTGCATAAGGGAGGAGGCCAAGACAGAATCATGAGTAGACGTTCTAGTGTAGGCTTCTGAAGGACGTTTGCCCCTCCCCAAAGGGCTGACCTTCATTCACAGCCTAACAAGTAGCACACCCTTCCTTTCTGAGCTCAGCATATAAATACTTATCTTCAAAGTAGCACGGTTCATGTTTCATATACTGACAAATGTGACTGTGTATCCAACTGGATTAAAAGGATTTAAGCAGAAGATAGGAGCTTACAAACACAATGTAAATGAGTGTGCTACGCAAGAGGAAGCAGTACACCGAATATTTTCTTGTGATGAGTCTAGGATTTTTGCTTTCCTTCTGTCGATACTCTTATCCTATTTTTCAATATTTAAAAGGTTGTATAGGGGACTGGAGAGATGGCTCAGTGGATAAGAGCACTGGGTGCTCTTGCAGAGGACCTGGGTTTGTTCCCTAGCACCCACATAGCTACTAACAACCATCCATAACTCCAGTTCCAGGGAAATCTGACACCCTCTTCTGAGCCTCTATGGGCGTTACACAACATGGGTGCACTTACATACATGCAGGTGTTACACTCATACACAAAAATAATAAAAATACTAAAATCTAAAAATAAAAAAATTGCATAAGGTGTTCCACATGAACATGGTCTATCAAAAATTGTTTAATTGTTCCTTTATATAAATAGAAAAAGTGGTTCACCAGGTTTCTATATTTGTATAGTTTTATAAAAAATAATAACTTCCCTCTCATCTATATCATCAAGTAGGCAATGAAAAACTAGCATAGGTCTCTTTTACCTACGTCCACAATGAGGAAAGAGGACTTTTCAAGGACTTTAGAAAACACTCTAAGCTGGGCCAGTGAGATGGCTCAGTGTTCAAAGGTGCATGCTGCCAAGCTTAGCAAACTGAGTTTAACCCCAGGACCCATATGGTAGAAAGAGAGAACTGACTGCCACAAGTTGTCCTCTGACCCCACATGGCACACATGTGCCCAAACACATAGACATGTGCACACAAAATAAACAATTTTTTTTAAAAAAACACACCATTTTGCTTTATGCTAATATTAATTGACTTTAAATAACATTCAAAATGCACATATATACATACATATATATATTTAAATTTTCTGTTTAAGGTCAGTCGATGTTCCATGGGCTATTTGATGCATGATTTCTGTACCTATTTTGTCCAGTATATTTTTAGTATTGCATATAGAAGTTGAGTTCATGTCTATTAATTCTGCATTTCAACCAAGCCTTCCAGTTCCCATAATTAAGACAGGAGGGTTGTCCGACTGCCCTTGGATCATCAGATGCCCACGCTCTCCCTGGTTCTGTTAGTCAAGAGACATTTAGCAGAAGCATCTCCAAGAATTGCCTTTTAGCTGTGCTGTGCTGTGCCATTTTTGGGCAGAAGCCAAAGAAATTTCAGTCCCCATATTAACTATATGCTCAGTGAAGCTTAAAGAGTGACAACTTTATCTTCCTGTTTTCAACTCAATAAAGAATAGGAAAGAAAAGATTGTTGGTATAGTAGATGTTGATTTACATCAAAGTAAATGATTATGAACGACTCCCTCCCACACTGAAGGAAATACGGTAAATAGAAGTGTTAACAATTAAGAGCTTTGTCTGCTTCCCAATTATGTAGTAACGTGTATGAATGACACACCTCTGTTACTGCAGATTTTGCCATCTGGTGATGTGCATCTTCGTTTGCTTTCCCAGGGGGTGATGTCGCACTGGAATTCGCATTTATCTCCATGCCAACCAGCCTCGCAGTAACAGTTTCCACAGTAACACTTCCCATGGCCTTTACCCAAAAGAATTTTATACCGTGAGGCAAAAAGCAACTTTTCAAAGCAGCATTAACTTTCTACCTTTTTATGATCATTTTTGCCTTTGGAAATAACATAAGAGCTCCCTGTTCTTTGCTTAAAATAATCAAATTATGTAGTTTTCTCCCAAATTTCAGAGTTTTACCTGCACAATTATACAAATAAAGCCCTTCAACTTGGCCTACATGAGGAGGTGATTAAAAGGGAAAGTATTTGTAAAGAGCTGTCAAGAATGACTATGGAAGTCCATTAATCTGTCATCTGAAGGGCTTGCATCGCTCAAGTGTATGCAAGCTTTTACTCGAAGGACATATCTTGAATTGGTCATTAAAACTGTTTATTTGAAATAAACTACTGAGAAAGCAACGGTACATATTTACTTAGGTACACATTATTAATGACTGAACCAGCCTCAAACAAGAGGAAATATTTCATCTTTTCATCCCATTGAGTCCCGTAAGCTGTCGTTGTTCTGCCATGTTGTGTTCTACCATGTGAGTAAGAGGTTTCCAGTTAAATCAATGTTTAGCCCTGATTTAAACCAATAAAACACAGTGCATTCTTCCAGATTCACACTTTAGTGGGAAGAGAATACAAATTTGAGTTAAGTATGCCCTTCATTCTGGGCCCGCATGCCACTCTTTCAACAGCTGTCTCTTCATAACCTTCCCCATACTCATTTGTACAACCCGCCAAGCCATCCATAAACTGCACCTCACCCCCTCATTACTGGATCCTAGCTGTCCTTCTCCAAATTCCCAAAAGGTATCATTTGCCCTTAATTCCCTTCCTGTGTATTCTCCTCTCTCCTTAGTAGTTCTGACATCCAAGCATGAATAAATATCCTTGTTGTTTTCTCTCATCTTTTTTTATTTTAAACTATTCGTATGTTTGTCACTGTAACATTTTCATCTCTCTGGACAATGGCAAAAGCACGGGTAGGGCTTGTGAAATTCACATAGAAAGAGGGAAATAGAATTTCTGATTTCCTAGGCCATAGTTTCATTAAGTAGATGTATGCCTAAGTGACCCAGAGAAAGAGAGAGATGAAGGAAAAGATTGCTATGGAGAGATACAGAGAAGGAGGGGGCTCAGCACACATGTGATCGATTCTGTCTGAATTAAAGGTAATGGAAATACACTTCTTTAACCTTATGCAAACAATTTTAATTCTCAATGTAGTCATTTAAGCCAATGCAATGGCTATCAGATAACTTCATCATCAACAACATATACTGTGTTCACATTTTATGTATTAACTTAAAACATTTCTACATGTGCACACAACAAAATCGTATTCCAGTGCTATATCACAAACTTCAAGGACTTGAGGGTTATAAGTGGAAAAAAAGCATGACTGGGTACAAATGCCTTTTCTTAGGAGTTAGGGTCTATAAAACCCGTTAAGGTTTTTAACCTATCTAAAGAATTTATTGCCTTGGTAATTTTATGAAATCTATACATATGACATAATCTATGTCACATAGGTAAAGATTGCCACAATACCAATGGATTATCATAAATGTACATACTTTATACCCAAGTTCCTGGTATATTTTATGAACTTAAATATTGAAATAGGGTTTGTTCTTAAAAAAAACATTAAAGGGTGAATCAGAAAAGAAAACATGTAAAGCTAGTTCTGTGTAGATATGGAAAAAAATTCACATTGGGATAAATGAAGATAATTGAAAAAAAAAAAAAAAAAGAAGTTTCAGAACAATGCATATCCCAAGCAAAGAAACAACTCTCTACTGTATATAAACTGATAGAGGGGGAAAATCACTTTTTTTATATTGTCATGGATAGATTATAGAATACTCTCTGAACAGATTATCTTCATGTGAATGACACATAGAAAGATCTAGTATTCTAAATATTACCTCCAGAGAATGTTTCCTGGCTGCTGATCTCTGTGGTCAGAGACTGCACCATGAAACTGCCTAAGCTCCCCCAAATGGAAGCAAGAAAAAGGGTGAAAGTTAAACATTTCCTAGCGTGTTGCTTAAAGTGAAATGTTTCTTTTTGTACATCAAAATAAGCTTTGCCTTTGCAGTGTGCATCAAACCTCAGTGGTCCCAAAGCAGGCCCTCACTGCATTTTGATCTTTAACAACTAGAAATAAAACATCAAGGTGGCAGATATATAATGTTTGCAGGTAGTTCAACTGTAATTATTTTGAAATAAATCCCCTTAGAGAATGTTGTGAGTAGCGTTGGGCTTAACATACTGGCTTAGAAGAGTTTCTTCTGTGCCTATTTTAGCCTTGTGGGTTGTACATCTAGAAGACCAGAGACAAATGGTTGATTGATTTTAAAATAAGAATATTTGAATGACACTAGAAGAACATCTGGGAGTCACAATGATATAAACCAAATGGCAAGATGTCTTATGCTAGAGATACTTTCTCAGAGCTCTCTGATACTTCTGGGTCCTGGTATCCCTGATCTTCCTAGGGTAGGCCGGACAGGATCAAATAGACTAGATTCATTTCAGAATAGCAGAGGATTTACTTAGCAGAAGCAATTCCCACTGTCCTCTATTATCATTTCATTGTGTCAGTCAAGGCTGCAAATGGACGCTCTGGGCAGGGACTTAAGATAGATTGGCAGAAAGGAAACCCCAGAATGTCAGGTAGGTGGTAAGGAGGCAATCTTTCCAGGGAGCTTCAAGGTATGTGTGAAGTTTTGAATAGTGAGGGGTTGGGAACAATCTTAGTGCTAGACAGACATCAGTCTGAATTCAATCATATTGGTGGTGTAGCTTAAAATTATCCACATCCCTGTTTTCACATCTGTTTGTATAGGTAGAATTGTAGAGGTTTTTTTTTTCAGATGTCATAATACATAATGCAGTGATTATAAAGCCCTTGTTACAGCCTGGCACTAGGAAACAGGCAAGGACTAGTGCAAGAGGACAGCTGGCTGCATAACGATGACACAGAATAAAGGTCAGGAAAGTACTATCTACATGTGGGGAAGGGTTGAGAGGGGAGGTGAATAGACTAACAGTCCTATCATGCTTAGGTGTCCCTATTAGAACCTGGAGCTATCTTTTTGATTTACAAAGAAAAAGAAGTTAAAACAGTGAAGAGATAAGGAGAAAACAAAGGACACAGGGTAACAGTGGCTAAGGTGAGCAAAAAAAATGTCTCACAGTTCTGCTTCAAAGTTAGTTATGTTGTACTAAAAATGTGGCTCTCCTCTAGGAACAGGAGGGTTTAACATTTAAATAGTTCTAGCATACTCTGAAAGTCTTCATGACTCTTCTTACCCCACATGCTTTCCAAACATAGGTGCAAATTTTATTGGAAGAACAGAAAATTATATAAAGCAAACAGTACAATGAAAGAAATGAAAAGCAGGGTTTCTGTTAATTCTGCTGTGAATGTACGTACCTCCACAGATTTCTTCTGTTTCATCATCTATACATTCTCTATCATCACACTCGCAAAATTTACCATAAACAAATCCGTTTCCATCTGAATCATCACATTTACACCTGCCACAGTGGCATGTACCTAAAGCAGCAAACAAGGAAAAAGAATGATACATGCATAGAAATTATAATTAATGACGCTTTCTCCTATTTCTTTCAAGAGGGTAGAGAACTCTAGCCAATTTAATGTTACAATCACATATTTCTGTGGGTATGGTGAAGTAGAGAACAAGACATTCATTTTTTAGATTGGGCACAATTATAATTTACATTACACAGTTATTAACCTCTAACAGTTTAATGGGTATAAATGTGACACGACCCCTCAAAATACAAAGATCCTTTGTATATATAGATATAAACATCTTTAAGAAATGCCTGAAGGAATATCTGATTATTCCTGGGCCTGTGTAAATGAGATAAAGCAAGAAATTATAGGCTTTATGAGGGAGATCATCCTGCTCATCTTCCCCACCAGGATCTACTCAATGCTTTGCCCAATGCTTGATCACATTATTTATATAATAAATAATTAGGGAAATAGCTTATTAAGAAATGCATAAATGAAAATTGTGTATGTCTCTCATAATCTCACATCCCAGCCTTTGCTGATACCCTTCCTCTGATAAGGATAGGACCACAGTGGGTTTTCTTAGGCACAGATTCCTGGGACCTCAACAGAATCTCAAGGTAAGTCAGAGATATATAGAGATTCTAGAGTCATTAGATCTACCATAAGTCACATACCCACCCAAGCCTGAGGTTATAGACCACATCTTTCAAGAGTGATTTCAATGAAAGTAATAGTTCATCCAAATGATGTTGATAGGTATATCTACCTACTCAAATAAAACTTTTCAATTTTTGATTATTATTTTTATTTTACATGTATGTATGTATTGCCTACATGTATGTAAGTGCACTCCTGTTGCGTATTGACCATGGATGTCAGAGGAGGGTGTCAGATTCTCCTGGAACCAGAGTTACAATGGGTGTTAGCCTCCATGTGGGTGCTGGGAATCAAACCTGGGTCTTCTGTAAGAGCAGCCAGTGCTCTTAACTGCTGAGCCATCTCTCCAGTCCCAATACATTTCAATTTTTAATTGTGTCCTCACAGCAATCACCATAAAAGTTATGTCTTTATAATTCACCAGGCCCACCCTAAACTCTGGAAACCCAACAAACAATTGTGTCAGCCATATTCTTATATGAGTAGAAATAAATGTGCTAAAATAACAGAGAAGCATAAACTGCTGCAAAAAAAACCACATAGCAACAGGATTTAACTGAGAGCTGGAGGTCAAAGAAAGAGACCCTAGGAAACAGTTGATGACTGAGAGCCAAACCAAGCCAAGCTAAGCCTAATTAATTAGTTAATTAACTAATTAATTTAAAGAGTTCAAGCCAGACACAAAGCAGAGGCTCTGTGGTTGAAGAGTATGGAAAAGAGTAACAAACCAAATAGGTTCAAAAAGTGAAAAGAGAACCTTAGCACAGATTTCTTCTGTTTCATCATCTATACTGAAACTAAAGAGGCAGCTGTAGAAGCTGTGCAGGTGATGCTAAAGGTTTCCAAGATCTGTGTTCTCAGGAAACAGTCACCAAACCAGACATGTATGTGGACTAGGTAATTCTGGTTGTCACATGGAACATGACCTTAAACAAAGTAAAATCAAGTCTCAGGAAATGAACAAGGAGACTGGTAGTTGTCTGCAATAGAGAGGGCTCAGGTGGGCTGAATGGTGACAGAGTTGAGAAAGCCACACATAGATGTGAGAAGATTGTCAGGAGGAAAACAGACAGCATCTGGTGCTAACGGTTATAAAGGATGAAGGGTATGGAGAAATGAAGGATGGTATTTGGCTTGAGTGATAGAGCACTAACGATCCATACATGGTACCCAGGGAAGAGCCCAGGCTTTGCTTGGAGGTAGAATTACTGTCAAATACAGGTTTTAATCCTCGCCATCAGTGCATTGCTTAGATTGGAATCCCTCTTTCCTCATGTTCTAAGAGTCTTTGTGTCCTCACAATTTCTCGCAGTGACTGTGAAGACTAAGTGACAAGCCCATCAGCCAGTCATCATCTGAAAACACTGCCAGATCTAGTGCAAAGAAGGCTTTTGGAAAACTTTAAGTCCTTCCTTTACTCTCCTCAAAACCTTAAGTAGATCCGTCATATTCCAAATATGACCTCCAGGCTCACTTTATATGAGTGGCTCCTGACAGTGTTCTCCTCTCCCTGCCTTCCACATGAGCACTTACCATTTGCTAGCTGTAAGAGAGGTCCCTCTCACAAAATCACAAATGAACGGTCATTTTACAAAATCCGAGTTTGTTGTTCCCTACCTCGAGGGTACTCTGTGAATCTGAAATGTATTAAATGTAACTTTCTTGTGTTAATTTTTCTGAAAACTTTTCATATATAAATGCCGTTTGAGGTATAATGCTATTATCCATGGTCTTTCTTCATATACTTTTTCCCTCTAATTATCACCTTTCTCTCTTATTTTCACATCTGCTCCTTTTGTCTCTCAACCACCCACATATCTAATCATTAAGCTTTCTTGTGACCTAGTATGTTATTGGCAGAACACTATAGGAGATAATAAGAGAAAAAATTAAGTAAATCAGAGACCAGGAAGAAAAATATGGGTAATATAAATGTGTACATCCATATATAGTCATACATATTTATATTTTATAAATCCATGACATGTACACCACAAAATACATGACACAGAGGTATCTGCAGCAGAGTTCAGAAAAATGTTATACAGAAACGCAAACCCCAGCCTGGTTCTGAAAGGGAGCAATGACACACAGGACGTTCTTGGGTTGCTCCTGATAAGTAGAAATGATTCTAACAAATGGCACAAAGATTTTCTTTTGGTGATGAGAACAATGATTAGAGTAGAGAAGGAGGCTGGAAAACAACAGAATAATATGATTCTGAGTTGAGTTTGCCAGAGAGGGAGGCTGAACGCAGAGCACAGAGGCCAAGGGCATTGGTTAAGGATGCTTCACTGTCTGTGGGATATGAGGAGTCCGCTATTGTTTGGCAGCAGAGAATAACTTGGTGACAGCGGCATATTTGTAAGTCATTTTCCCTCCAGAAAGATGAGAAGGAACAGTCTGCCTCTGAGTTCTACGACTTCTAGCTGACGTCTTCCGCTGGCAGGCTCACTCTCATCCACACATGTGAACCATTCCTGGCTGGAGTGGGAAGTTTACAACAGCTCAGAGACTTCCTGTCTCATCATCCATCAGAATTCACATCTGAGCCTCCAAGATACGGCAGATGGGAGCCCAGGCAAAAGTGCCAGACTCCTGTGTTCCCGCTGAGTCATCCTGCCTCTCCCTCTTGGTTACCAGTCAGTCATGCTCAGGGACTGGCCTGCTTTACACTCCATTGTTTTTTCTGTGATCTTCCGTATTGCCTAACATAGCTGGTTCTCTCTACGGTGACCTACCAGACTTGAACAGTCTTGACCTCTGTGCCAAGGCACTGGAGCCTCACCTTGCCTGGCACACTGTCACCTTTCTGGGTCCTCTGTAGAGCAAGTTTCTGGTACTCTCTGTTCTTAGCCCCATCTAAATCTGCCTATCAGTTTTATGTCCCATGACAGTTACCTCCTCTCCCTCTTCGACTTCCAAGCTTCTTCGAGAGACCCAAATTATGATAAGGAAAGGAAAAAAAGGAAGATTACTAAGAAGTAGTAATGCGGTTTGCAGGGGCAGTCCTGAAGCACTCTGGAAGAGTTCTTGTTAGAAGAGAGGCAGTGAGAATGAGATGACCGAAGGGCTTGGACTTCAAGACGGAAATCAAAAAGGGAGGATTAAGTGTAAATTTGAGTCTAAATTTACACTTTGGTCCAGAAATCTCATTCCTATTTACCCTGAAGATGAAAATCTCCAAAAATAAGGATAATTCAGATGATAGACCAGATCATTCCATGAATCATTATTTGTAATGTCTAAATACTCAAACCTCTAAATAGGAGATGGACTGAATGAGTGCTAGCACATATATAAAAGTCAGTACTATACTTTTGAGAAAAGAATAAGAAAGACTCATGTACTGATGAAAGGTTGGGTGCCAGAGCAGATTGCTGAACAGCATCATGTGCTTGCTGCCTTTTGTATGGGAAGGATAAAAGAAAAATCCCAGGGCTACAGCGATGACTCAAGGGTTAAGGTCACTTGCACCATAAGCACAAGAGCCTGAATTTGAATCCCCAGCATCCTTGTAAAATGCTAAGCATAGCTGCCTGCCTGAGACTGTGACCTCAGTATTGTGGGGCAGAGAAAAGTGAATCCTGAGAGTTCACTGGCCTGCCAGTCTAGACAATAAGGTACAGTGATAGAAAAAGACACGTGATGTGCTGCCCTGGTTAGGCACATGCATTTTCACACTTATGTGTATACACATAGATATACACACAAAAAATTGAATAAAATAGTAATGTGTACACACACATATATAATTATATGATGCACATACATATTATATATATACATATATACATACATAATATATTTTTTAAAAGAAACACGAGGGCATTAGAAAGCATCAAAATTAGCTGCTACAAAGCTAAAAGTAAACAGAGATGAGGGAGTCTTAATAAGGAGCATGGTGAATGTCTGAGCATGTTTTTTTGAATAGTTTTGACTTTGGAATCCTATTCATATTGTACACATTGTAATCATGTTAATGACTAACTGGAAAGAAAGCAAAAAATAAAAACCTAACACTGAGCATAGTTTGAAAAAAATAAGCTCAATTGATTTTCAAATGAGTAGCATAGCCACTTTGAAAGAAGGGAAGATTAAAGAACTCAAGTAACATATGAATATAGCTTGGACTAGACACCCTGGTCTGAGTCACGATTAGGTGGGGGAGGGGTGGATTGGAATCGGATTCTGTTTTGTGGGGGAGATAGATAGATTTATTTTGAATAGTTATGTCCATAAAAGACTTCTGAAAATAATATTAGAAGTAGGCAGTATGGGATTTAGTGAGCTAGTATATGTTACGATGCTATAAGGGAGCATGAGAAAAATCCAAAATAAGCAACATTTAATTAAATAAAATAGAGAGGTGAACAGATGGGCATGGTGGCACATGCCTGTATTTTCAGAACTAGGGGAAAGAGGCAGCAAGATTACAGTAGGTCTCAGTCTAGTCAGGACTATACAAATTGTTCTAGGACAGCCAGGGCAACTGGGTGAGACTTGTTTAAACAAATGTAAAACAACAGCACTAACAAAAACAACATCACCCCAAGAAAAGATGTTTTTTAAAGGGATCGGGGAGAAAAAAGAAATAGGATAAGTATTTCTGTTTGTTTCAAAATGGTTAGTAAATGGAAGTAGAGGAGCATAAGAGAAGAAAGATGACAACACTGACCCTAGATTACATCAGACAAGGGAACCCTTGATACAAAGGAAACCAGAGTCCTTGGTAACAGTGGACTAGTGCTCGTAAGTTGCATAAAATTATCAGTGTTTACAAAAGAAGCTACAGGTACCTTTTTGGGTGGGGTTCAATGTATATTTTTAATTAAATTTTTGTGCATCTCATACAAAACATCTTTCATGTTTTGGTTGTTAGCCTTAGCCTTTAATGGCTGTGCTATCCCTCCAGCCCTATACAAAGCATCTTAACCATCTTTATACCCCTCTTCCATCAACAGCCCCCGTAGCCCCTCCCACCAGAGTTCCTGCATTCAGTCATATATGTTAAGGCCTATGGAGTCAAGTTATTGTACCCAGATATCCCTCAGTACAAGCTCGTCTACTGGGGTCTAGTCAGCCTATCTAGAGTCTGCTCCTTTTAGGAGAGCAGCCCTCCCTCAGCCAGTAATCAGCTGCTGATAGTTCGGTTAAGGTTGGAGCCTGCTGCCCACTTCCCTAGTTCTATGCTGGGTTTTTATCTGATTGAGTCAGCACGGATCTTGTGCATGCTGTCACCATTGCTGTAATTAATTGAACAAGTTCCCAGAGGCCTGGAAGACGCTGATTCCATATGATCATGCACCAACCCTGGCTCTTACAATCTTTCTGCCCCATCTTCCACAATGGTCCCTGAGCTCTGGGTGGGAGAGGTTTAATGTATATTTGTACGCTTTATCATCTATCAAGACCATTCTGAGCTGGGTATGCTGGCACATGCCTTCAGTCCCAGCACTCTGGTAGCAAAGTCACGTAGATGTCTGTGAGGTGGAGGTCAACCTGGTCTACATAGTTAGTTCCAGCTAGGGCTACATAGTGAGACCCTATCACAGCTAGGGCCACATAGTGAGACCCTATCAAACAAAAAAACCCTTCTGCATATTTTCTCTTTTACATAATGATGATGTGTCAAAGACACATTCCTTTTCATGCTAGAACATTTTCAGAATCACTAACTTTTAATTGGTTATAATATATTTTGCTTAACACTCAAACAATAATATCAAAATAAATTTTAAAACAACAAATTCAAATCCAAAATATTGTCAAAGCCATTGCTGAATAAGTTTTTAATGACTTAATTTTTTTTTCTGGACAAAAGAGTCAACAGACTGTGTATATATGTGTAGTATCCACAAGACCCATGCTGACTCAGTCAGAGAAAACCTACTAGGAGCAAAGAAAAGACAGATGTGCTGAAGAGAAAGTGAGGAGATTATCACAAACACAGAAAGTGACCTGACTGCTCAGCCTGCTTGTCTGGCTCGGATAGGTCCTATCACATCCTGTTCTGGTATAGCCCGGATTCCATTAGCAAACACTATGAGTGAGTTTAATCTACAGTAAGCAATTTGTTGCAATCAGGCTGTGGAAAAGTCATCTCTGATTGTATAGGAGGCCCACCAATAAGACAAGCTTTAGAGGGAGGATATTCATCGGAATAGTCGAAGGATCACCTTCAGCACAGAACACACCTTGTATCCCTGGATCTATATAAGGCCCATGCACTTGACTTACAAATCCACTAAGCTCCAACCACAAATCAAGACAATTGAAACTCGAGCTTCAGGCAGTACATGAGCACTCACATTTTGGTACTTTCCCTCTGGGATTCTCAGGTTGAACCATGGTTGAGAAAAAGTGACTTTGGGGCTTCATGTGGCCATTGTTGAGGCTATTTAATTATAGCAACACAGACTGTCACTGTAATCTAAACTACAACTCTCTTGTTTTGTATGGTTTTGCCAATTAATTTTAGCAGTCTCTCTGTAACTTCTTAAAAAATAGTTTCAAATGACTCCTATGAAACAAACAAAAAACCTCACGGTCACTGTGTCATCAGTGAACTTCATATCCAGTGCTTCTGAAACTTTCACCAAATTGAAAAAGTTTGTTCCATTAGATGCTCAAATCCAAAGCACCCTTGACTTCTAAGAGAAAATGATTAGGTCAATTATACAAATCCATTCAAAAAGATTTAATCCAGCATTCAACATCATGGCTTTCCACTTTCATAAAACATTGTTGAGTGTTGTTCCCAATGAATAGCCTGCTAGAAGGGGGCATTTGAAACAGCTGGACAAAATCAAACTTGCCAGTCTCAGCAAGATGACAATTTCGTCCTTACAGATTCATCTGACTTTCATTCCTAAAAAGCATACTCAAAATCAGTCACGCTCAAAGGGTTCACCATTTCTGCATGCCTACATATTGACATTAAAAACAAAATTTGATAATTTCACTCAAGAATTTTGAAGGGATGCAATTCTTACCTGCATTGGAGCAGATGACATCTTGAGAGTTCTTGCACATCTGGCTGCTGATTTTCTTTGTCAGGTCACAGTTCACTGGATACTGGCAAGCTTCCCCAGACCAGCCTACATCACACTTGCACTTGCCGCAGTCACAAGTGCCATGGCCTGAGAATGCAACAATACCTGGTAAGATTCAGATCATTTTTTCAAGAAAGGCCTGTTGTAGCAAAAGCTCTTAAAGGTGGTGCTGGTCAAGACAGTGGTGTAATAAGTTCTAATATACTCTGTGAGAGTAGCTGAGAGGTAATGCTACCCCGATAGAGGGAATATGAGAATTTTATTTCAATAGTTAACTTTGATAAGCACGACCATTAAATGACTTTACAGAGATATGAGGGTAATGACTAAGAAGTCTAATAAACCACAGTAAAAAAAAAAGGTAACACTAAAGGGAAAAAAAACAAAACTCTGCCTACTAATTCAGGATTTGAGACAGAAGCCCTACACAAAGACTTCATATTTAACTGTACTTTATAAAACCTAAAACTACAATCTCTGAATGAACTCTTCCATGAAACACCATTCAACTAAACGTTGGGCTGCTATTTGTTTTATGGATATATTAAATATCACTATGGGATAACACCGGCATTATATAGTACATTTTGATTCTTAAAAATTTCACTCCACCATCCAAAAGAGGAGTCAATCTTGGTCTTCCCCGTTTAAATTGTTATTTTGATTTTAGACAGTGCTATTTAAATGTTTATGGTCATAGACTCTATTAAATCTTATCTGATGGATCATATTAATGTTTTTAGTATTTATACATTATTTTGACTTAAGTATAAAGCACATAAGATAGTTGGCTCTTCTTCAAGAACTTATAAACTTCAAACTCAAAGCAAGCTGATACAATAGAAGATGCAGCGATCACCATCCAGCAGTGTTTGACACCTCATGCTAAGTTGAAGAGTGCAGTCAATAACCTATGGGAATAAGATGTGAAACTTCCTGGACAACCCTGTCCATTGTCTGGGCCTCAGGAGTTGAGTAGAATATGAGTGGATTGCAAGGAGCACATTCCTATACACTCGAGATAATAGTATCATGTCTTAATGTTTGAAACTCATAAACCATATTGGATGGAATATTGACATCATGCCAACAGTCTTGGATGTGGCAAGGTAATTCAGAATGCACAGATTAGAAGCCGTCCATTTGACCGTGTTCAGTATAGCCTGAATCTATGCTTGGCCACAATTTAAAACCCATCTTCCTGGGCTCCAGGGCATGTACATGTTGCTATCTGTATTGTAGTTATCACATAAATTAATTTTATTTCACAAAATAATCTGTAGAACACCCTAATTGAAATCCATTGTATACACATGTATTACTTTGTGTTCTCTTGATCCCATTCAATACTGTCAGTCTTAGCCAACTGGGTGACTTTTACAAGCTCAAGTGATTGTGCCTGTCAGCTATCCAGTCTATTTACAAAACTGTTAAGCCAAATTCTTGAACGTGTCCACCATCTTTCAGTCAGTGAAGATTGACTCTTCAATATATGTTAGGTTAATCACATATATTGCCACATTTCCCAGTTGAGTATGAGGCATTTTGATTGTTTAGCCCATTATCAGCAGAAAAGAATGTACAATTTACTTACAAGATAGATAAATGTGGTATTGTGATTTGCCAATTCACGAAAGAAATGACTGCTCTTCTTTTGCATTGGATGGGACACCCTAATTTAAGGTGTGTGTGTGTGTGTGTGTGTGTGTGTGTGTGTGTGTGTATCAAAGATGGTAGGGTTGACAATTTGTTGTGGGTCAAAGATATTTTTTTTTTCCAGTAGGTAAAGGGTGATGAGGACATTTTGATTGTTTAGCCCATTATCAGCAGAAAAGAATGTACAATTTACTTATAAGATAGATAAATGTGGTATTGTGATTTGCCAATTCACGAAAAAAATGACTGCTCTTCTTTTGCATTGGATGGTACACCCTAATTTAAGGTGTGTGTGTGTGTATGTGTGTATGTGTGTGTGTGTGTGTGTGTATCAAAGATGGTTAGAGGTTGACAATTTGTTGTGGGTCAAAGATATTTTTTTTTCCAGTAGGTAAAGGGTAATGAGGATTTTTTTTTTAAAGAAGCATTTCATTACAACAGTATTAACCTATTCAATAACATTTTTCTGAGCTAGGGTACATCTCTTTCAAAATTGGCTGTACATTTCTAGGTTTACAGATGAATTATTACGCTTATATAATCTTTTACTCATTATAAACTCTATAAGACATAAAATTAAATGAGGTTCCAACGTTTAAAAAAGATCTCCACTGCATTGTCAAAACACACAGTTTCATACAGAAAAATTCATTTCAGGGCTCTTGACATTGAGACGTTTTCACATGCATTTCTAATCTCTATATACATGACTATCACTGGTCACAGTCACCCACTTTCTGAGCTCCTCGGCATCTGAGCATGAATACAAACTCGTCATTTTTTTTTAAAGAAAGTGGGTTTAAAAGCCTGAGAGAAATAAATTTATGTAACATTAGATGAGACCCATCCATTCCAAACTGACCCAATAAACCATCAGTGAAATGCTTCTTTCAAACAGTGGTCCAGAGAGGTACAGGTTGTACTCTTGTATGATCTCATCTTAACTAATTCTACCTTGAAGACTATTTCTAGAAGAGACCATGATTAGAGGTACCAGGGATTAGGACTTAGATGTTGTGTTCAACCCACAACAGATGCAGATATGCATCCCTACTCTTCTTTGCCTAATCCAAATTCAAGTAAAGCATGGGACCATTCTTGCTTCTTAGATACTGAAACCAGCTGACAAGGGCTGGCAACAAGTTGTATTCCCCCTTTCCTCTGCCCTGAACTGGAAGGTGTTGAGAGCCCTTAGGACGCCCCATCACATACCATGTCTCTACCTCCAGTTCTACATTTCTTCCCCAAACAATTATTCATGCACCATTATTTCAGTCCAGAGATTTTTGACTGCCGTAAACCTAAAGACAGACCAAGCTTGAAGCAACTGGAAACTTCAGGGTAACAAATTCTGGGTTCCAAGCCCTTCAACCCAAAAAAGAAGACCAGACCATTTCCAAGGATCAAGGAGGCCACACCCCCTTGATCTCAGACATGCCACCTTGGTCCCATTATGATAACAGATGCCATGTGACCCAGAACAGAGTTCCTATGACCCAAGTCTAAGGGTAGTGTTGGCTACCCCATGTCTACACCAAGTCCTAGGCAGAGGAGTACTCTCCAACCCTGACTATATGAAAATTTCCCACTGTTCCTTCTCTAGAACTTCCATTTACACCACTTCAAAACGCAATTTTTAAATGAATAATCCAAAATACTTGAGAATAAATCATTGACCTTCAGTAAGCTCCCAAGGCATCAAGGGAAAACAAACACACAGAATAAAAAACGTCAGGGAAAAGCAAAACAGCTCAAACAACTCCTTAGCCACGGCAGTGGGGATAACGATGTGAAAGGCTCTTCTCACTCTTTCGAGTGATGAAACTAGTCACTGGAAAGGAAAAACAAGCTACAGTGGAGTACAAAATCAGAGCTTTGGTTTGCTTTCTGGGAAGGAAGCAGAAGTCTGATTTCCCGAATGAGCTAGCATTTTGCTCCTGCACCGATAAATAAAAACAATCTGACAAAGTAACATGCACCCACAGCTAGTCCATTATTTCATGATATAT